AAATAAAAAATACCTTAAAATCATTTTCCTATGCTCAATTCTCATTCTCCAAAATCACAGTACTTCATTTTTCTTTTTTCTTTTTTTTTTTTTCACGGTTTTAACGTGTAGATTGTAATCCACGAAGAAAACAAGGACTGTCCTATTTTCGTGTATGAAAATATTGGATTCCACTGCACATTGACTTTAGGATGAAGAATTAAGGCTTCCCCAGTTGTATCCTCACCACCATATATCACTGTGAATAACATAATATACATCTTGTGTGTGTTGTGAATTATACACACCTTAGTCAGAAGCATCATGTAAAAAAGGCTCTATAACCTGGTGAGCGGTATGCAGCATGTGGAAGACAGTCAATCTATTTTTTTAATATTTAATTTAAGATATTTTTTCTGTCAACTTTTTTCTATCTTCAAACTAATCTCTCTTTAAATGATTTTAAGGAAATAAGTATATGGTATATTTGAAAAAAAAATATTAATGACTTAAATAATTTAGTGATTATTTCTTTTTGTTAGAAGTAAAAGGCTCTAAATTTGAGTCGTATGATATACGAGTAAAGTGAGATAAAGGATCGAAAATAATTGTCTCCCATTATATAACTAAAATAAAAAAAATTAATTTCTTTAAATAATATCTTTAAAACTTAAATTTTAAACTTGGTTTATGTTAAAAATTAATTTAATCATTTTTATTTTTTTATCTTAAAAAATATTTTAAAGAGTTAAGTTAAAGTAAAAAAGGTATTAGATTAGGTTAGATTGGATTTAAAATAATTAGACTTTAATATTAAATTAAAATTAGAAATGAATAATAACTACAAAACCTTTGACTATAATTAGATACTTAAATTAAGTTGAATTTAATATTTTATTATTATTTTTTAATATTTCATAAAAATATCAAATCATCTAAATAATTCAATAGTTATTTTTTTATTAAAAATAAAAAATTTTAAATTCAAATTACATGATATGTGATTAAAGTGAGATAATAAATAAAAAATAATTATTTTTTATTATATAATCAAAATAAAAAATCCTTCCATAAACTCGCAGAACCGGTAAAAAAAAAAAAAAAAAAAAAACGCACGCGCGCG